GTATGCCAAAGGTGACACTCCCAGGTTAGGCATGGTAAATCTCTCTCTTTTTTATTTATTATTTTTTTATTCAGAAGGGAAGTAATGCTGCACAGCTAAGCAGAATTGAAGGTAGTCAGCGTCCAATCTCTGGCTCCTGTGGGTATAACATTCATCTGCTCTTTCCCAAGGACCACACAGGTAATCAGTAGAGGGATTTGTCTGTGGAGAAAATCCTGAACAATCATACAACATTGAGTGGGAGAGAGGACCATCAGTACACACGGGTTGGGAGTAGAGCCACTGATGTTAGAGTAGAGGCTGTGATTACAAAGGAATGAGGCCCCAAGTGGGCTAGACAGGGTCTAGAAGAGTTACTAGTGGAGGACCTAAGGAAGCTGCTGTCTAAGCCACAAATAAGTTCTCTGATTGAGAGGCAAATAGAACCTGACAGAAGGGGCTTGATAATCTGCTGGGCTTTATGGTCCTGTCAGTTATGAGGCCCAGACTCATCTATCTCTTTACATGGGGTACATTTTAAGAGAGGTGTGAACCTCCTTGGGGAAGGCACCCTGTTGACTTCCATTACCAGCTGGCCTGGGAGGAGAGTTGGCCAGGTAAAGGCAGATGGCATCTCCAACAGGAAATTTACAGTTCTGCCTGTAATGTTGCAGACCCTGCTTGGCCACCCCTTCAGCAGCAGTGGTCACCTTGGAAGCTGGGCTGAGTGAAAGACTTTTCAGCTTAGAGCCAATAAGATCCATGACTCTCACCTGGGTATCCTTCAACTCCAGGGCAGGTCCATTTCCAGTGATCCAACTCTTGGCTGGCAGAGCTGCCAGGGCTCTTAATGAGCTGATTTCTATTAAAGTCCAGGCTTACCTCATTGAAAGCCACTGTGGTGGGCTGGCGCCGCGGCTCACTAGGCTAATCCTTCGCCTTGCAGCACTGGAACACCGGGTTCTAGTCCTGGTCGGGGCGCCGGATTCTGTCCCGGTTGCTCCTCTTCCAGGCCAGCTCTCTGCTGTGGCCCGGGAGTGCAGTGGAGGATGGCCCAGGTGCCTGGGCCCTGCACCCCATGGGAGACCAGGTTAAGCACCTGGCTCCTGCCATCGGATCAGCGTGGTGCGCTGGCCGCAGCGCGCCAACCATGGCGGCCATTGGAGGCAAAAGGAAAACCTTTCTCTCTGTCTCTCTCACTGTCCACTCTGCCTGTCCAAAAATTAAATAAATAAAAAAAATAACTTATAAAGTGTTACTCAGGTTCTATGTCAATTTCTCCAGGTTTAACTCGTCAACTAATTTTCTACTGCCAAATTTTATGTGCCTGGAGAGCAGGCACTGGGTCTGCTTCTACACCAAAAGACAGTGTATGACATTAGAAAGATAGATCATTAATTAATGTTCAAAAATACACAAGGGTCAATGAACTCATGGGATAGTAGGACTGATGGATAGTTGGACTAGTGGGTGGATGGAAGGATAGTTGTGTGGATGAATGGGTGGTTGTATGTGAGTGGATGAATGGGTGGATAGGTAGGTGACTGGTTGTGGATGGATGGGTAGTTGTTATGTTTGGATGAGTTGGTATGTTCATGAGTGTATGAATGGGTGGATAGGTAGGTGACTGGATTCTTGGATGACTTGATCAGATGGACTGAGAAGAAGCCAAGAAGTCTAGGAGGCTTAGGATTTCATGGAGATGCTTGACAGGATTCTGTGAGAATTTTTCCTCAAGTGGCTAAATGCAGATTTTCTAATCATCACTTAATATATGCAGAGCATATGTATAGAGGGTATTATCATGATCTAAAAGGACTAGAGTAGAAATGGAAGCTTCTAGTACATGTCATAATATGACTGTATTGTAACTTCAAATGATGATCAGAGGGCCCTGGAACAACCTGTCATAAAATAGGCACATCAGATGGCTTCTGGATCTTTAAAGTGGCTTGTTGTAGAGGCACTCTCCAATTGTCAGTCATATACAAAAGTCATACCATGGAATTATATTGAAATACCCTAGAGACCCCAACAATTATCAAGCTGAATAATCTCACATTAACATAGTACTTAAAGAGTTGGAAATGTCTTTCTATATGTATTTACTCATTTAATTTTCCCACCTTTTTGTGAGGCATGCACTAATCTCATTTTACAATGAAAATCGAGCATCAGATAGGTTGAGAGATATGCTTTAATAATGGATAAAACTGTTTACATGAATGAAGTCAAGGGCCATTTGTGTCTTTTCATCCTATATTGAGTGCCTTTTCTCTTTCCTGATACCTGTGGGTAGAGGAAATGTATAGTACAAAGTGCACACTGCAAAATCAATCCATGCAGGACTGATAAGTCAATGGGCAACACTGGGAACTTAAGTTTTTTGTCATACATTGTCTCATGTACAACACATCCCTATTTTTTTCCAGAGAACACACAGGAATGGAGAACAAAGTGTTCCATCCCAACCTCATTATTCTTTTGGCAAACCCAATAAAATTCTCTCCTCCTACAGAATCTGACAGGCACACAGATGAATGCACCAGTTCCTAAAGAAATTCTTTCTTTACTGTTCTGACATACTGAGTGTCCAGGCTTGCAAAATACCAGAGTGGAATGTACCCTGGCCCTTGCCTATACTGCTGCTGGCTCCTGACTTCAGAGCAGCACAGCACCGGCTGTTGTGACCATCTGGGGAGTGAACAAACGGTTCTCTGTCTCTCTCTCTAACTCTGCTTCTCAAATAAATAAAATCTATAAATTAAAAAAAAAAAAGAAAGAAACCTGACAGAGTACTACAACCAAACCCACAGTCAGTCACAGGCAGGCATGGTCAATCAAAACTTAGACACAGAAAGCTAGAATTAATCAAACCCATACACACATAGCCACTCGAACCTGAGACAGACAAGTCAGAACAAATCTAAAGGAGAGAAAACAGCTCTGAGAGGCAGTAACACAGACGCAGCCATGGGCAATAAAACCTGAAACAGAGAGAAGGTAGAATCAGTTGAACCCACAGACTAACAGACGGGGGTAAGGCCAATGAAACCTCAGACAGACATACAGAAGTCAGAAAGTGGCACAGAGGCAGCCATGAGCAATCAAACTTGAGACAGTTACAGAGAGAGGTAGAGACGGAGAGAGAGGTCTTCCATCCACTGGTTCACTCCCTAGATGGCCACAACAGCCACAGCTGAGCAGATCTGAAGCCACGAGCCAGGAGATTCCTCCGGGTCTCCCATGCGGGTGCAGGGGCCCAAGGACTTGGGCCATCTTCTACTGCTTTCCCAGGCCACAGCAGAGAGCTGGATCAGAAGAAGAGCAGCTGGGACTAGAACCAGCACCCATATGGGATGCCGGCACTGCAGCGGCGGCTTTACCCACTATGCCACAGCACTGGCACCATAAATTTATATTTTTCATTTCATTTCTTATTAATGTTGTGAAGTACACTGCCATTCTGCTGGGTATTTCAATTCAGAATAGTGTTACAATCCCAAGAGAGGCTCTCAGGGAAGTTTCCTGCTCACCCATCCATTCATTAAGCTGCTCAAGCTGCAACCATAGCAAGTTCCTGGGGACACTACAGGACCTTGTGCACTTGCTGCAACCACCTGGGAGACACACAAACCACATGGCTGAATCATATTTGTTTGCCAATCAATGGCAGAAAACTTTAAACAGTAAAATAACATGAGAGAAAACTGTTTATAAAGTTTTTCTCAGAGAAAATGCCTATGACAACTTGTAACCATGCATCTTCCAAATATTCCAAATGAGAACCGGTATGTTCTGAAGACTGTTTGAACTGTGAACACGTGATCTTTTTTGTATATCATGGGAGAAAACTTCCTGTAGCAAACGGATAAATGGTACACAGATGATAGAAAAATATCCATGAATGAAAGATATTTGCACTACTATGAGTATGACAGCTCAATTTATGATACCTCACATATAGAATCAATCAACTTATCCATCAACTCATGCTGAATTTTAAAATTCTGTTAAATATACACTATGGAATACTACTCATGCATAAAAAGGAATGAAAGCCTGTCTTTTTAACAAAATGGATGTGACTTGAGATCATGTTGCGTAATGAAATAAGGCAGTTCCTAAAAGACAAATATGTTTTCTCTGATATACAGTACTCAGTGCAAAAACAATGCATAAAAATGAAACTTACATGTTTTTCATTGCTTTTTGAAGCAATAAGGAAATGTCCATCTCAAGCTCACCTTTTAGCTTTGGGTGGTTTGGGAATGGAATACAGGTGAATTCTATAGCAGTATATTATCATTTCAAATCCTTTCTTCTCAGCACCTGCAATCCTCAACTATTTTCTCCTCTCTCCTTGTCTCCTTTACTTCTGCATGTTTCCAACCATGGAGTCCCTCACCTTATTAACAATTCTGTCATCACACCCTGCCTTCTGGGGTTGGGCAGTTCCCTTGCCCTCTGGGAAAAGTGATGCCTTACTGCATTCTGAGATAATAAAGCTCCATTGTGTTCTTGGAAAATGAGGTTCCAGTCTTCTTGTGAAGACTGATGTCCCATTACATTGAAAATGACAGGAAGTTTTGTGTACACAGGAAGAATACCATACTCCAAGTTCAGGAAAAGATTTACAATTTTTTGGTTTAAAAAATTTACTAAGAAGTTAGTTTTCCACTTAAATACTGAATTCATCTGTTTATGAAGCTTAAAACTGGATTACAATGGATGACTGTTATAAATAAAATTTCACCTTTTAACATACTTTTCATAGAGTAAAAATACTCGATGTACCTTACCATCTTGACAATTTTTCCATGCATGCTAAAGAAAATGGCATCAATTACTATGCTACTTCTTCCAGTTTCAATATACTATTTCTGGAGCCACAAGTCTTATAAATTCAAAACTGTAACATACATCCTTATTTTGAAAACTGCATTTTACAAATGGACTTACAAGGATGAAAACAAATAGTTACAAAAATATAAAAGGTAACAAACTCAGTATAAAAATACTTAAGCTGACACCATTCCAAAGTATATTTTGATCATTCTTAAATGTTATAGAGACCATAAATATATTTCTGAAAGATACAGAACAAGTCCATAGACTATAGAAATTAGTTAAATACTATTCCAGACAAATCTATGACTTTCAATTTTGATTTTCAATTCTGATTAAACATCAATTTCTTGCAACTGTGACTGTCAATGGTAGAAAAGGCATTTCTTTCTCTTTTTTAAAAATGTTTTATTTCTAAGTCTCATTATATAAAAAATAAAGAATTAATATGTCACCTAAGATGGTTCAACATCAATTTTTAAAGAAATATAGTATAGTAAATACATTAAAAAAAAAACGGAATTAAGACAATTTGTTTTAATAAACAATACTCATGGTAAATAAAGTTCTATTCTTCTTAAGTTGATGGTCAAAATTCCCAGTTAATGTCTTCAGAAAATGAAAACTAAATTCAATTTAGATCTGTAAATGAAAAGAAAGAGACCCATGAAGAAATAATTATTGTAACATAGGAATCTCTTCAGGATTACATGTCAAATTCCTTTTAAATGAAATAGATTATACATTAGATTTTCTCAATTCCTATCTACTATTAGTAAAATCTTTCTGTTTCAGATGTTCTACTATGGGAAATATCCTTAAAAGTTCAGTATACCCTTCTGTCCTTTAACAATTAGATGAGGCACAGTCCTACCCAAATCTGTTCTCTGAGTGATTAGTCACAGGAGCAAAATTATATAACCTATAAACCTCCCAGAAAAATGATCCAGAAGTTGTTAGGATTTTAGGTAATGAAGGAAAAGTAAAATCTTATAAAAATGCACAAATCTACCCTGAATCCATGATAGTTACACTTTTGATGCTTGACAAAGAAATTAACTGTTAATACTTTCTACCCTTGGGAATCCATCGTATCTAGGATCTGCAAAGGAAGTTCTGTATGTTTTAAGATAGATTAAGATATATAGTATAAACTATATATTAAACTTATATAAAACCAGCAGATTACTTTGTGTTTAAAATTTTTTAATGCACATACACAAAGATACTAGCCTTCATAATTTTTGGAAACTCTGGTTATTATATTGCATGAACTTGGTCAAAAACAACTGCAAAAAATCATTTTGTGTTTTTCTATGTGTGCATTGTTTGTGTGTGCAACTATGCAGATTTTTTTTCTGAACTATTTTTGTTGCACTGTGGTAAGAAAAAATCTAGATTGAAATGTAAGCTATATAGTTATTTTAATAGATAAACAGAAAATCAGGATGTTTCATTTAAATTGAGTTAACAACAGAACAGTAGCAAGGCATTCAGTTCTGTGTCCTCATCACTTTTTTAAGTTTGCACAAAATAAGCATGCAACAAGACCAAACCAAGGATCTGGGCAATAACAATGCCTCACAAAGAAATTAGTATTTTCCTATTACATGCTCCATAATATCTGTCTCCACAATCAGGCTTTAAGAGTCTGCAGTAGGGCCAGCACACTGTGGAATAGTGGGCTAAGCTTCTGCCTTGAAGAGCAGTATCCATGCTGCTCCGTATCTGATCCAGCTACCTGCTAATGGCCTGTGAAATCCAGCTAAAGATGGCCCAAGCAGAAGGCCCTGCCACCCATATGGGAGATCCAAATGAAGCTACCTAGACCAGCACTGGCTGCTGCAGCTATCTGCAAATGGAAGATCCTGTCTCTCTCTGTCTCTCTTCACATCTCTTTCAAAATAAGTAAATTAGCCCCTGCACCACATGGAAAAAGCTCCTGGCTCCTGGCTTCAGCTCAGCACAGATGCAGCCATTGCAGACATTTGGGGAGTGAACCAGAAGATGGAAGACCTCTGTCTCTCTCTCTCATACCTCTCTGTAACTCTGCATCTCAAATAAACCTTTAAAAAAATGCAGCAATTTCAGTATCACTAAGTTAGTTCAAACAAAAATCTTCTACTATTTTATTTAACAGAAATATCTATTTAGATACTCTGCTTATACAAACTGTAACCATGCAATATCCACTGGGAAAGTTAATAATTACTTTTCAGAAAGTGCTTGTCCAAGTATAAACACCTAGATTGGCTAGATTGTTTCTAATAATATATTCAAATTCACAGCATTTCCATTATGCATTAAGCACTAAACATTATTAGCAAACACACCCCCTCAACTTTTAGGGTCATGTACTTACATCATCAATGTCTTCATCATCATCTCCAATATCATCAAACTGGATTTCATCATCATCTCCAGGACCAAATGTATCAGTTTCATTGATTTTAGCTAAATAAATAATAAATGCATAAAAAACATTCATTACACAATTAAAATGTTATTAAAATGAGTAACCGCAAGAGTCTTATTATAGGCCAACCTTCCATTCAACCAAAGTTCTGCTATTAGGAGCAAAATATATTGCTTTATGAAGCTATATAAAGCAATCTAACAACAAAATCCCCCAGAAATTCATCTATTCCTAAGTCATTACAACAGAGAATATATGTGCTGCACTTTTGTTCAGTGCAACATAATTTTAATAACATTTTAAAAATTTAACAATTTTAAAAACATCAAATGAGTATGACTAAACAACATGTAGTCACATGAAGTATAAAACATCATGAGATTAAAACAACTAGTTCTACAACTACTGGAGAAACTTAGCAAACCAGAGCAAGATTTAGTCAAATCATGTTTATCATTTAAGAAATAACAGTGACGCACAGCTGGTGCTGTGGCATACTGGGCTAAGCATCTGCCTGCAGCGACACCATCCCATATGGGCACCAGTTCGAGTCCTGGCTACTCCATTTCTGATCTAGCTCTCTGCTCTGGCCTGGGAAAGCAGTTGGAGATGGCTCAAGTCCTTGGGCCCCTGCACCCACATGGGAGACCCAGAGGAAGCTCCTGGCTCCTGGCTTCAGATCAGCACAGCTCTGGCCATTGCGGCCAATTGGAGAGTGAACGAGTGGGTGGAGGACCTCTCTCTCTCTGTCTCATCTCTATGTCTCTCTGTAATTTTGTCTTTCAAATAAATAAATAAATCTTTTTAAAATAAATACATAATAAAAGAGAAAAGGAGGTGCTAGACTAATTCACAGACATCGGCACTTCCTCAAATGCAAAGAATTTCAATTGATTTTCAGATCTTTCTCTGTGTCTCTCCCTCTCACTGTCTGCAACTCTACCTCTCAGATAAATAAATAAAATCTTTTTAAGAAAATGAAAACTATGAGTCGGCTGAGAAATGTTAAATGGAAAAATGCTAATAATGTGTTACTTTGACAGACGTTTATACAAATCCAGGTTTCAAAGTTTTGCAAACTTACAAACTCACCAGAAAGTGTATATATTTAATGTCACAGACAACTCCATGAAAATTCCTTCAACTAAACACAAAGAATGAAAATATCTATGACATAGCCGGCACCGCGGCTCAGTAGACTAATCCTCCGCCTTGCGGCGCTGGCACACCGGGTTCTAGTCCGGTCTGGGTGCCGGATTCTGTCCCGGTTGCCCCTCTTCCAGGCCAGCTCTCTGCTGTGGCCAGGAGTGCAGTGGAGGATGGCCCAGGTGCTTGGGCCCTGCACCCCATGGGAGACCAGGAAAAGCACCTGGCTCCTGCCATCCCATCAGCGCGGTGCGCTGGCCGCAGCGGCCATTGGAGGGTGAACCAACGGCAAAGGAAGACCTTTCTCTCTGTCTCTCTCTCACTGTCCACTCTGCCTGCCAAAATAAATAAATAAATAAATAAATAAATAAATAAATAAATAAATAAAATAAAAATAAAAAAAGAAAATATCTATGACAGAGTAGATTAATAATAATAGACATTACCATGTTCAGGAAGCTCGCCATATGCCTTCAGACTTCTAGCTTCATCTGCATTGTATTTTAAAATTACGTCTGCTTTGTTATCCTTAGAAATAAACAAACTTGTAAAACTCATAACACTGCACTGCTTTTCTTCCTTTACCCACCCGTACTCTAGTAAAAAATTCTAAAACAAATAGAAAAAATATATAATTTTAAATAATTAAAAATATAGGACATCTGTAATTTCATCTGAATAAAGTAGGACAGGGAAACAATCTTCTATTTTTCATAAATCACTAAAAACAAGCAGTAGTAACAAAACATCATAATGACATACAAAATATTCAGTTTCAAAAAACAACAAATTATGACTTAAGAACAGGTTTTTGGAAAACTAAAGAGGCTGGGACAACCCTCAAATCCTATAGGAAAACTAGATTGAGTTTCAGGTTCCTGGCTTTGGCTTATTCCAGCTTTGACTGCTCTGTGCATTCTGCGAAGTTTTTTTCTTTTTTTTAAAGATTTATTTTATTTATTTGAAAGACAGATATACAGAGAAAGAGGAGGAGACAGAGACGTCTTCCAACGTTGGTTCACTCTCCAGTTGGCTGCAACAGCCAGAGCTGCACCTGGCTCCTGGATCGTGGAGCTCTGGCTGTTGCAGCCAACTGGACAGTGAACCAACGGATGGAAGATGTCTCTTTCTCTGCTTCTCTCTGTAAATCTTTCAAATAAAGGCCTTTCATTCTCACTCACTGCTTCTGTCTCGGGCTCTCTGTAACTCTGCCTTTCAAATAAATAAATAAATATTTAAAATAAATACATATATAAATAGAAACTGTATTGACCAAGTCTTCTTACAAAAAATAAAAACAAATACACGATTAATAAATTGTAGTAAAAACACTATAGTGTTAAACAAAATGCAAACAGCAGAATGGTTAAAAACACACTGGCCTAGAATTGCCCAACAATGTTAATTCTGTGTTTCCTAACAATTAATGACTTGCTATGGAGGCTGCAACATAAATTTAAACTTAGTTTTTACCTGATACTCTCGGAGACCAATCAAAATAATGTCTGAGGTATTTATCCAAACCTATGAAACAGATTTTACAGCATATTATTTTCATTTGAAGATGATTTTAATGTTAAATGAATCTTTCCACAAAACACATACTACAAAGGGTTTTCCAACAGTTCAGAAAGAAATTAAAAAAGAAATTCTGGTACCCAAAATATGAAATCCACACATAGGAAGTCTCTTCAAAAGTGTTCAAGTGAAATGGATACTATCATTAAACAATGTATACATTTCAAAAGGAATCTATAGGACTTCACATTCAAATTTCTCATACCATTTGCAGTTCTATTTAACTAAAATGTAACACATAAACTGAATGAATTACCCATCTCTTTTGTCACTTTTAAAACTAAAAAATTGTTTTTTTCACATTAACATTTAGTTGAATGTAGTACTGTAGAAATCATTTATCATTTCTATATTAACTATCCAGTAAACATTTACAGCTACAATATATAATTCTTTATACAAATAGAATCTTTTGAGAAGTTTAATTTGTGTTCTCAAATAAATAACTGTTTCGTTTTAAGTCTTTGGCAATTTACAAAATTGAACTGCTTGGCAAACAGTTGTATACCTGAAGTAAAGTAATTCTTTGCAGCAAATTTTATAATAAAAGAAATCTATACACCTACCTTCTTTCTCAATTTTCCTCTAATATGGCATAATCGCTTTACACCATCAAAGCACATTGCTTCTAATCGTCCATTTCCCAGCATTTTGATTACTTGTGCATACTCTGAGGAGAATAAAAGAGTTGCAAAAAATGTTCTTTGTTCTCATAAAAATCTCAGTGATTTTTTTCAAGATTTATTTATTGAAAAGTCAGACTTACAGAGACAGAGAGAAACAGAGCCAGACAGAAATACAGAGAGATTGCGCTTTTGTTGCTTTATTTCCCCAAGGGCCACAAAAAACTCTAGGCTGAGTCATTTTCTACTGCTTCTCTCAACCAACAACATCGGGCCCAATTTCAGTAGAAACAAGCCTAGGAATAAGCAATCTGATACAGTGGGCTGGGTTGCCTATATCACATGCCAAAGTCATCACCGCTCCAGTTCTGATGCAGCTTCCTGTTAATGTACCTGATGACCACACAGGAGAGCTAAATGGTGTTCTTGGCTGCAGGCTTCCACCTACCCAAGCCCTGGCTGTTATAACCACTTGTTGAAAGAAGTGGTGGTGGAAGATGTCGTTCTCCATGTCACCCTCTCTCTTTCTCTCTGTGTTTCAAAGAAATCTTTAAGAACATGAGTGCAACAACAAATGGTAGCTCTTTCTCTTTTTCTCAAAAAAAAGCCATTCTTTAAAAAAATCTGAGCCTGATTTAATTATTGCACATTTGTATATATGAATCTATTACCATACTATACCACAAAAATATGGGCAATTAAAACAATAATTTTAAAATAAAGAAAAAATAAAAATATGAATGATAGCACACAGCAATCTTCTAGAAATAATCAATAAACAAATAGAAGGGAAACAGATTACAAAATCCTCACAAGAGTAAAATTTCAGAACTCTATGACACAATATTGATGAATTTATAATTATATTTTCATTAATTTGAAAACCTAAATTGTGAAGTTTTCACATGTTAGCTGGTCACTTTTCCTGATTTCTGAGTTAACTGTCCAATGTGCATTTTTTTTAAAGATTTTATTTATGGGGCCAGCGCTGTGGTGCAGTGGTTTAACACCCTGGCCTACAATGCTAACATCCCATTTGAGCACCGGATTCTGTCCCGGTTGCCCCTCTTCCAGGCCAGCTCTCTGCTGTGGCCAGGAAGTGCAGTGGAGGATGGCCCAAGTGCTTGGGCCCTGCACCCCATGGGAGACCAGGAGAAGCACCTGGCTCCTGGCTTCGGATCAACGCGGTGCGCTGGCCGCAGCAGCCATTGGAGGGTGAACCAACGGCAAAGGAAGACCTTTCTCTCTGTCTCTCTCTCACTGTCCACTCTGCCTTCAAAAAAAACCAAAAAACAAAAAACAAAAAAAAACTTAAAGATTATACATTAGCTCATAGCTTCTTGTGAATAAAAACTTCTGTGTAACCCTTTCAAATACATAAATCTTTAAAAAAAAGATTACATTTATCTGAGAGGCAGAGTTATAGACCATGAGAGAGACACAGAGAGAAAGGTCTTTTCCGTTGGTTCACCCTCCAGTGGCCAAAGCGGCCAGCGCACCGCGCTGATGCGATGGCAGGAGCCAGGTACTTCTCCTGGTCTCCCATGGGGTGCAGGGCCAAGCACCTGGGCCATCCTTCACTGCACTCCCGGGCCACAGCAGAGAGCTGGCCTGGAAGAGGGGCAACCGGGACAGAATCCGGCGCCCCGACCGGGACTAGAACCCGGCGTGCCGGCGCCGCTAGGCGGAGGATTAGCCTAGTGAGCCGCGGCGCCGCCTTTTATTTTTTTGACAGGCAGCGTGGACAGTGAGAGAGAGAGACAGAGAAAGGTCTTCCTTTTGCCGTTGGTTCACCCTCCAATGGCCGCTGCGGTCGGTGCGCTGTGGCCAGCGCACCGCGCTGATCCGATGGCAGGAGCCAGGTACTTTTCCTGGTCTCCCATGGGGTGCAGGGCCCAACACTTGGGCCATCCTCCACTGCACTCCCTGGCCACAGCAGAGAGCTGGCCTGGAAGAGGGGCAACCGGGACAGAATCCGGCGCCCCCACCGGGACTAGAACCCGGGGTGCCGGCGCCGCTAGCTGGAGGATTAGCCTAGTGAGCCGCGGCGCTGGCCTTCTCTCTTTTCTTGAAAATAAAAGCTCTATGATCTAATTTTCCTGACCTAAGTTATCATTTTTCTTTTATCATCTGTGGGCCATATTCCCTGGTCTCACATTGTCCAGCCACGCTCGGCTTGCACAGAGCGGGGCGGGGAGACTACAACTCCCAGAAGCCTCAGCGGCGGCGGCGACGCTCTACGTGTGGGCTGTACTGGTCTGAGTGACAGGTAGCCGACCCAATGGCTTCCCCGGTCTCAGACTCCGGACCGCTCAGACGCGGGGTGGGTGTGTGCTTCCTGTTTCGGAGGCGTCTGCTCGGGGCGGAAATTCTATATGTAAGAGCTGAGAAAGCTTTCTTTTCTTTCAAAAAAAAAAAAAAGCTGTGAGGCCTAATTTTCCTGACCTGAGCTATCATTTTCCTGTTATCATCTGTGGGCCATATTTCCTGGTTTCACATTGCCCAGCCACGCTAGGCTTGAACTGGGCGGAGCGGGGAGACCACAACTCCCAAACGGCTCAGCGAGAGCGTCGCTTTGCGTCTGGGCTGGACTCGCCTGAGTGACAGGTCCGCAAGCCAATGGCTTCACGCGTCTCAGACCCGGGGGCCAATCAGATGCTGGGTGGTTGCGGGCTTCCTGTTTCTGCGGCTCCCGACGGACGTGGTCTTGAAACAAACCACGTTCAACCCAACTCACTTCTCTCTTTTCTTGAAAATAAAAGCTCTATGATCTAATTTTCCGGACCTAAGTTATCATTTTTCTTTTATCATTTTTGGGCCATCTTTCCTGATTTCAAATTGTGCAGGCACACTTGCCTTGTCTGAACGCAGCCCTGAACTACAGCTGCCAGGAGCCCTAGCGGCGGCGGATGCGGCGCTCTACGACTGGGCTGGGCTCGTACGAGTGACAGGTAGCACAGCCTATGGCTTCTCCGGTCTCAGACTCGGGGACCAATCAGAGGCTGGGCGGGCGTGTGCTTCCTGTTTCAGCGGCTCGGGGCGGAAGTGGTGCTGAACCGCATTTCACACAGCTCTCTCCTCTCTTTTCTTTTAAAAAAAGCTCCTTGATCGAGCCGGCGCCGTGGCTCAATAGGCTAATCCTCCACCTTGCGGCGCCGGCACGCCGGGTTCTAGTCCCGGTGGGGGCGCCGGATTCTGTCCCGGTTGCCCCTCTTCCAGGCCAGCTCTCTGCTGTGGCCAGGGAGTGCAATGGAGGATGGCCCAGGTGCTTGGGCCCTGCACCCCATGGGAGACCAGGAAAAGTACCTGGCTCCTGCCATCGGATCAGCGCGGTGCGCCGGCCGCAGCAGCCATGGGAGGGTGAACCAACGGCAAAGGAAGACCTTTCTCTCTGTCTCTCTCTCACTGTCCACTCTGCCTTCAAACTAAGAAAAGAGAGAAGTGAGCTGGGTTCAAGACCATGTTGCCTGCCCCTGACTGGACCGGGATCCTGTCAGTCTGCCGCCAGCACCCCACCCCCTTGGCGCTCCTTCTGCCCCTGACTGGACGGGGAACCTGTCAGTCTCCCGCCTAAACCCCACCCCCTTGGCGCTCCTTCTGCCCCTGACTGGACCGGGAACCTGTCAGTCTCCCGCCAGCACCCCACCCACCCCCTTAGCGCTCCTGCTGCCCCTAACTCGACCCGGAAGCTGCCCGAGGGCGCCTCCTCCCGCCCTCTGCACTGCCGCTAATGACTTTTTCCAGTGCGCGCTCAGAACGCCACCTCCTTCCTCGCCGGTGGCTGCCTGGCCTCCCTGGACGAGTGAGGCGCAGGTCTAGGTTCAGAACCTCGCCCTCTGCCCGGCCCTGAGTGGCTCTGCTGGATGAGGAGGAACAGTCCGGCCTGTCCCGCCCGTGCTGGGCGCGGGCAGGCAGCGTGGCAGAAGACAGGTTCTGGGCTCCTACTGCGCGTTCCTCCTCCCAGACAAGGGCAGGCAGGGCCAAGCTACAGGGCGAGGTTCTGGCGGACGGACAGGCGGGTACGCGCCCGCTCAGGGGCTGCCAGGGACGTGCGGGACCCAGACCCGAAGCTGCCTCGTCAGGTCCGAGCTGGACATGGGCGGGACGACTGCCGCGTGGTGCGCGCAGACGTCACTTCCCGCGTCCAGTCAGGAGCCGCGAGGGGCGTGGCTCGAGGCGGTTCCTTTCCACACCATTTCCGCCCCGAGCCGCAGAAACAGGGCGACACAACCACTCAGCATCTGATTGGCAACGGAGTCTGAGACCGCGTGAAGCCAATGGCTGCCCGACCTGTCACTCAGACGAGCCCAGCCGCAGAGCGCCCTGCCGCTGAGGCTTTGGGGAGTTGTAGTCTCCCCGGTCCACCCTGTCCAAGCAGAGGGTGGCTGGGCAATGTGAAACCAGGAAATATGGCCCACAGATGATAAAAGGAAAATGATAGCTCAGGTCAGGAAAATTAGGCCTCACAGCTTTTTTTTTTTTTTTTTGAAAGAAAAGAAAGCTTTCTCAGCTCTTACATATAGAATTTCCGCCCCGAGCAGACGCCTCCGAAACAGGAAGCACACACCCACCCCGCGTCTGAGCGGTTCGGAGTCTGAGACCGGGGAAGCCATTGGGTCGGCTACCTGTCACTCAGGCCAGTACAGCCCACACGTAGAGCGTCGCCGCCGCCGCTGAGGCTTCTGGGAGTTGTAGTCTCCCCGCCCCGCTCTGTGCAAGCCGAGCGTGGCTGGACAATGTGAAACCAGGGAATATGGCCCACAGATGATAAAAGAAAAATGATAACTTAGGTCAGGAAAATTAGATCATAGAGCTTTTATTTTCGAGAAAAGAGAGTAAACCCCACCCACTCGGCGCTCCTTCTGCCCCTGACTGGACGGGGAACCTGTCAGTCTCCCGCCAGCACCCCACCCCTTTAGCGTTCCCCTGCCTGCCCCAGACTGGACGGGGAACCTGTCAGTCTCCCGCCTAAACCCCACCCCCTTGGCGGTGCTGCCTTCCCCTGACTGGACCGGGATCCTGTCAGTCTCCCGCCAGCACCCCACCCCCTTGGCGCTCCTTCTGCCCCTGACTGGACCGGGAATCTGTCAGTCTCCCGCCAGCACCCCACCCCCTTAGCGCTCCTGCTGCCCCTAACGCGACCCGGAAGCTGCCGGAGAGCGCCTCCTCCCGCCCTCTGCACTGCCGCTAATGACTTTTTCCAGTGCGCGCTCAGAACGCCACCTCCTTCCTCGCCGGTGGCTGCCTGGCCTCCCTGGACGAGTGAGGTGCAGGTCTAGGTTCAGAACCTCGCCCTCTGCCCGGCCCTGAGTGGCTCTGCTGGATGAGGAGGAACAGTCCGGCCTGTCCCGCCCGTGCTGGGCGCGGGCAGGCAGCGTGGCAGAAGACAGGTTCTGGGCTCCTACTGCGCGTTCCTCCTCCCAGACAAGGGCAGGCAGGGCCAAGCTACAGGGCGAGGTTCTGGCGGACGGACAGGCGGGTACGCGCCCGCTCAGGGGCTGCCAGGGACGTGCGGGACCCAGACCCGAAGCTGCCCCGTCCGGTCCGAGCTGGACATGGGCGGGACGACTGCCGCGTGGTGCGCGCAGACGTCACTTCCCGCGTCCAGTCAGGAGCCGCGAGGGGCGTGGCTCGAGGCGGTTCCTTTCCACACCATTTCCGCCCCGAGCCGCAGAAACAGGGCGACACAACCACTCAGCATCTGATTGGCAACGGAGTCTGAGACCGCGTGAAGCCAATGGCTGCCCGACCTGTCACTCAGACGAGCCCAGCCGCAGAGCGCCCTGCCGCTGAGGCTTTGGGGAGTTGTAGTCTCCCCGGTCCACCCTGTCCAAGCAGAGGGTGGCTGGGCAATGTGAAACCAGGAAATATGGCCCACAGGTGACAGACGAAAAATGATCATTTAGGTCAGGAAAATTAGGCCTCAGAGCTTTTTTTCAAAGAAGAGAAAGAAGACAGCTGGGTTGAAACACGGTTCCTTTCCACACCATTTCCGCCCCGAGCAGACGCCTCCGAAACAGGAAGCACACACCCACCCCAGGTCTGAGCGGTCCGGAGTCTGAGACCGGGGAAGCCATTGGGTCGGCTACCTGTCACTCAGGCCAGTACAGCCCACACGTAGAGCGTCGCCGCCGCCGCTGAGGCTTCGGGAAGGTGTAGTATCCCCGCCCGGCTCTGTGTAAGCCGGAGGGAATCCATAGACTCGGATGGAGCCTTAGGAACCCAGATAGAGCCTTAGGAACTCGGATGGAGTCTTAGGGACCCGGATGGAGTTCAGAGACTCGGATGGAGCCTTAGGTACCCGGAATGAGCCAAGAGACCCGGATGCAGCACAGAGACTCGGATGAAGCCCAGAGAACCCGATGGAATCCAGAGACCTGGAGGTGGCCCTGTGGACCCGGATGTGGCAATGGGGACTCGGATGTGGCCCGGAGACCCTGGTGGAGCCCAGAGACTCGGATGGAGCCCAGAGACCGGAATGGAGCCTTAGGGACCCGGATGGAGCCCAGAGACTCGGATGGAGCCCAGAGACTCGGATGGAGCCCTGAGACTAGGATGGAGCCCAGAGAAGAGGATGGAGCCTTAGGGACCCGGATGTAGCTCAGAGACCTGGAGAGAGCCCAGAGACTCGAATGGAGCTCAGAGAGCCCGATGTGGCCCAGAGACCCGGATGGAGCCAATGACCCCGATGTGGCCCAGAGACCCGGATGGAGCCCAGTGACCCGGATGGAGCTCAGAGAGCCTGATGTGGCCCAGAGACCCGGATAGAGCCCAGAGACTCGGATGGGGCCCAGAGACCTGGATGGAGCCCAGAGACTCTAATGGAGCCCAGAGACCCAGATGGAGCGCAGTGATCCGGATGTTGCCCTGGAGACCCGGGTGGAGCACAGAGACCGGAATGGATCCTTAGCGACCCGGATTGAGCCCAGAGACCCGGATGGAGCCTTAGGGACGCGTATGGAGCCTTAGGGACCTGGATGGAGCCTTAGGGACCTGGATGGAGCCCAGAAACCCGGATGGAGTCTTAGGGTCCCGGATGGATCCCACAGACCCTAATGGAGCCCAGAGACTCGGATGGAGCCTTAGGGACCTGAATGGAACCTTAAGGACCCGGATGGAGCCTTAGGAACCCGGATGGATCCTAGGGACCTTGCTGGTGCCCAGAGACTCGGTTGGAGCCCAGACTCGGATGGAGCCTTATGGACACGGATGTAGCTCAGAGACCTGGAGAGAGCCCAGAGACTCAGAGAGAGCCCAGACACCCAGATGTTGCCCAGAGACCCGGATGGAGCCCAGTGACCCGGATGGAGCCCAGAGAACCCGATGTAGCCCGGAGACCTGTTGGTGGCCCTGGGGACCCAGATGTGGCCCTTGGGACCCGGGTGGAGCCCTGGGACCCAGATGTAGCCTTGGAGGGAGCCCTGGAGACCCGGATGTGGCCCTGGAGACCTGGATGTGGCCCTGGACCCGGATGGAGCCCTGGAGACCCCAATGTGGGCCTGGAGACCCAGATGTGACCCTAGAGATCCTGATGTAGCCCTAGAGACCTGAATGTAGCCCTGGACACCTGAATGTGGCCCTGAGGATCCGGATGTGGTGTGGAGACACGAATGTTGCCCTGGAGACAGGGGTGGAGCCCTAGAGACCCGGATAGAGCCCTTGAAACCCGAATGTGGCCCTGGAGGGAGCCCTGGAGACCCGGATGTGGCCCTGGAGACCCCTATGTGGCCCTGAGGAACCGAATGTGGCCCTGGAGACCCGGGTGGAGCCCTGGAACCCAGATGTGGCCCTGGAGGGAGCCCTGGAGATAATGGATGTGGCCCTGGAGACTCGGATATGGCCCTAGAGACCCGGATGTAGCCTTAGGGACCCGGATGGAATCTTAGGGACTCGGATGGAACCCAGAGACCCGGATGGAGCCTTAGGGACCCCGATGGAGCATTAGGGACCCGGATGGAGCCCAGAGACCCGGATGGAGCCCAGAGACCCGGATGGAGCCTTAGGGACCTTGATGGAGTCTTAGGGACCTGGATGGAGCCCAGAGACTTGGATGGAGCCTTAGGAACCCGGATGGAGCCCAGAGACCTGATAGAGCCCAGATATCCGGATGGAGCCTTAGGGACCCAGATGGAGCTCAGAGACCTGATGGAGCCTTAGGAATCCGGATGGAGCCCAGAGACTTGGATGGAGCCCAGAGAGTGAGATAGAGCATTAGGGGCTCGGATGGAGCCCAGAGACCCGGATGGAGTCTTAGGAACCTGGATGGAGCTCAGAGATACGGATGGAGCCCAGAGACTCTGATGGAACCCAGAGACTTGGATAAAGCCTTAGAGACCTGGATGGAGCCCTGGAGACCCGGATATGGCCCTAGGGACCTGGATGTGGCCCTGGGACCCGGGTGTGGACGTGGGGACCCGAATGTGGCCCTGGGAGAACTGGATGTGGCCCTGGGGACCTGATGTGGACCTGGATGGAGCCCTGGGAGACCCCGATGTGGCCTTGGCAACCCGGATGTGGACCTGGGGGACCCGGATGGAGCCCTGG